GAGCAAGCGTTCCAAGCGGTAGGCGTGTTTGTTTGTGCGCCGTTGAGGGCTGTGTTGCGTGCGGGGTTGTGCCTAGCTATGATGGGGGCCAGCACTGTGTCGTGCGACCCGTGATACCGCAATGTCGACCGTTGCAGTCGAACAGCACAGCATTGGAAGACGTGGCTCACACGCACACGTGTCACGTGTCGTCACACACCACGTGTGCTGTCGCATGCGTGGGACACTCGCAGGTCGTATGGGAAGCGAGGGCGGAAGCAGCGCTCGCCGCCATCCAACGGCTCCCACCACACAAACGTCAACTCCCTTCCCGCAGAATGGCGTACGTGCGAGTGCGCTGGTTGACACGTGTGTGTGTGTGTGTGTGTGTGTGCTTGGACTCGCAGCACTGTGTGGTGATGTCATGTCAGAGTGCACTCGTGTGTCTCATAGCATTCCCGTTCACCCTCGTTGTCTTTGGCTCGAACACAGGGGAAGATGATGCAGCAACCGACAGTGAAGCCAACGACTACGCTGTCCACGCCTCCGATGTCTCCGAGAGCGAGATGCTTGAGTGCGTGTCCAAGATGATGATGTCCGTCAACGTCGACGGCACACAGGTGCAGCCAACTTTACATTCGTGCCAAGGTGCACGTGTGTGTTTGTGCGTGCGTGTGTGTGTGTTTGTGTGTGTGTGTGTATGCGTGTGTGTGTGCAAGCGTCTGGTGAGGTTGAACAACGTGCATGCTACGCTCATGTACTTTCTGTCCTGCCGCACACACACACACACACACACACACACACACACACACACACACACACACACACACACACACACAACACACACACACACACGCGCGCACACACACACACACACACACACACACACACACACACACACACACACACACACACACACACACACACACACACACACACACACACACACACACACACACACACACGCACGCACACACTCTCACACACATTCACGCACGCACGCACGCACACGCACGCACATACACATGTACACCGTCATTGCATGCAGGCAAAGGAGCTGGAGACGGTGGTGACGACGTTGCGGGACTTGTCATCGCCGTCCGCTGTGCAGTCCACGCTCGCAGTCCCAGCCATTCCAGGTGCCTAGTGATTGACACATGCAATCATGGAGGAGGGGAGAGGAGGAAGAGGAAAAGGAGAAAGAAGAAAGAAGAAGAAGAATGAAAGGGGACGCGAGCATATGTGTTGATGGTTTGCTGCTCCAACCAACACTTGCGCCTTGTTCATGGATTGAGCGTCTGTGCCTGCATGCATTGCACACAGCGACGGGCCTGTTTGGCCGCAGGCTGCGCACGGGCACCGTCGACCAGCTGACACAAGACTCTGGAGACGAGGCGGACGAGAGCGAGGGTGGCGAATCAGACGACAAGGTCATTGCGCAATTGATGGTTGATGATGTGGAAATGTTGCTAATCGTCGTTGGTGTGGCGATGTTGCTGGTAGTCGTTGGTGTGGCGATGTTGCTGGTAGTCATTGGTGTGGCGAAGGTGATGATACTTCTTTCCATGATCGTGGTTCTTGGTCTTGAACCCATTGCACCTTCGCTTTGTCACGTGTTCCTGTGATGTATTCCCACTCGCCACCGCCAGAGCGACGGCATGGACATGGCGGACGCAGACACACTCCCACTTCACATACAGCAGCACCAGCAGAGGCAGCAGCAGGAGGAGCTTGGTCAGCCCGCATCAATACAGCTTATACAAAGCCCACAGCGACTCGGTGACCAGCATCAACACCACCACCACCAGCAGCAGTTGTCGGGCAATGCAGACGGAACAAAGGCGTATTATTACAACGGCATGCTCAGCAGGTGGTGGTGGTGCGATGGTGGTGGCATGTGGCACTAGGCGACAGTGGTGGTGTGATTGCATGTGGTAGAGGTGTCATAATTGCATGAGTAGCTGTACTGCATCGCATGTCTCAAATACGCGCATATTCATCATGTGTGTATGTGTGTGTGTATGTGTGTGTGTGTGTGTGTGTGTGTGTGTGTGTGTGTGTGTGTGTGTACAGTGAGCCGTACTCCAGGGCCGGGGTGCATCCGCGTCACGGGTCGCGGTCATCGTCGCGTCATCGTCCAAACTTTGACGCCGTCCTGTGCGCCTTTCAAGACGTAAGCGAATGCAATAGCGCGAGATGGTGAACTGGGATGAGAAGAAGGGAGGGAGGGGGGTGGGGCGGTGTCTTGGTGGTGGTGGTTGCGTTGGTATGTTGGGTGGCGTGGCCTGGACGTGTGCTCGTTTGCGTTTGTGTGTGAATGCTTGCTTGTGCTTGTTTGTGTTTGTGCGGGGGGTTTTTTTTTTGATGAGCATGACTTCGTATGTCCTGTGTTGTTCGTCTGCTGCTCAAGCTACGGTTTCGTGACCTCCTCCATGCTCCAACCATTCACTGCTTCACCACCTGCATCTGCTGCTACTGGCGCTGTTGTTCTTGTTGATCAGTTTCTGCAAATGGACCACTGCAAAGTGCTCGTCTTCCCGTCAATGCCGCGCAGTCTCTGCCGTAAAATCGACAACGTCGCAACGGTGTGTGCATGTGTTTGTGGAGGCGTGTGCGTTGCCGTGTTGTGGCTGATGGTGATGGTTGACGCTGAAGTCACTGATCGAGGGGGTGGGTCTTGGCTGAAACACATGAATTCAGCACGACTCTGTCCCTCATACCCCAACGGCGCATGTTGTTGCCACTGGATGCATCCCCTGCCACACCCGCCACGGCTGTCTGCATACACTGTTTGCACAGGCGTTTAAGCTCGATGTGTGTGTTCGCGGCAAAGGAAAGCACCGCTCCCCCATTGTGTCCAAGACTGGGTTTACGTCCTGTCCACCGCAGGTGGGCTTGGACAGCCAACAGCACAAGCCATTGCCTGCATGCATTTGCTGCGACTTCAGTGGCATCTGCAGCTGCTTGTATCGTCCTTGTCACCCACTCACATGTATACGCGTTTCGCTGATACACACATGCACGACACACACACTCTCACGTGCTGTAAACCATGCCAATGTGCTGCGACGCGTGCGTGTTTGTGTGTGTAGGCGACGTTGGAAGCGCTTGAGCTGGCGTGGGAGGTGGACGACAAGCCCTCTGCCTCTGCCCGGCACGCGCCATCGTCATCATCCTCGTCGTCATCGTCGTCGTTGTCGCTTCGTCGCAGCGGGCGGATCACGGTGGCAGCAGCCTCATCATCGTCCATTTTGGGGCCGGCAGCAGCAATGCGGGGAGCAGCAGCAGCAGGAACAAGAGCAGCGGCAGGAAGAGGAGGGGGCCGGCGACGTGGTGGCGGTGGCGGTGGTCGCATTGGTGCTCGCGGCAGCGAACGCGTCGGTGCTGACGCACAGCCGATTGGACAGGCAAACGTCGGCCACCAACGTACGATCTGGCGGTAGTGACATGATGGGAGATGGGGCGAGGTGGGGCAGGCAAAGTATGTGCGAACCTGTTTCTCCGTTGGCTTGTCCTATGTCTTTCATCAGACAGCACACACGCACGCACACACACACACACACACACACACACACACACACACACACACACACACACACACACACACACACACACACACAGTGCTGCAGCGCATGGGATGGGATCCTGGTCGCGGGCTGGGGCGGGACGGGATGGGGATGAAGGAGCCGATATCGGCCCACATTCGCCGAGGACGAAAGGGATTTGGCGGCGCAGCTTAGTGATGGACGGTGCAGGGTAAAGTCAGGGATTGATGGGTGGATAATCTTGCAAGAATGGGGCGGATGGCTGTGCTGAAGGGTGGATGAACGCGATGGTGGTGTTGATGATGTAGTGGTTATTGAATCAGCTGGAGGAGTGGATGGGTGGTTGATGTTGTTTGGCTGTTGAGGATTAGGCACGTGTCGCTTGTGCAGATGCTGTTGCGGTTCACCACACACACAAATGTACATCACTGCTGTACCTTCGCTATCACCCGTTGTACAGTGTAATCCATATTCCTGACATGGTGGTTGTGTTCTTTCTATTTCGCCTTGTTGGTGTAACCGAGTCAAGCCGATAGTCGTAAACGTAACTGCGATGACCAATTGCAGAGCGCAGAACAACGGCAAAGAGTGCAACATCATGCTCGTTCATATGTGCAGTTAAGTTGCCAGCTAATCAAGCAAGGAAGAGAGCGCCTTGCACGCTTTCCCTTGATGGTGTGTGTGTGTGTGTGTGTGTGTGTGTGTGTGTGTGTGTGTGTGTGTGTGTGTGTGTGTGTGTGTGTGTGTGTGTGTGTGTGTGCCACTCAAGTTGGTTGGTTGTGGTGTCACCGTGCCTGTCTATCATCGCCCATCCACCTCCCTCGCCTCTCACGTCAAAAGCCTCCCTCTCCTGCGCCACTGTCGTGGTGCTGCACGGGTCAATTGTGCGCACAGACTGCGCGTGCTGTTGTTGGTGCCGTCGCTAGTGGCCACTGGTGATGCAATACAGCGCCCCGTGTTGCTGCAGTCTCGATGACGATCACGGCAGCACTGAAAATGCGAGCCAGCACTGAAAATGTGATGGTAGGCCCAAGTGCCAAGATGGCAAGACGGGCAGGATGGCAAAATGGGCCCTCGCACATCACGCGGGTTCTCCGGCGTTGTCGCATGTGATGCCAAAGGGTGGCCTGTAGTCAAAGGCGGCGGCAAACTGCCTGACCACCGCCCACATCTTGCATACAATCTCTGGCGTAAGCACCTCCTCCGCGCTCACCACGTCCGGGCCGTGTGTGCGGTGCACGTGCACGTCGTCCGCAAGGCTGAAGATGCAGTCGAGCGTGGGTTTGGTGAGAGGCCCGAGCGGTGACTCCATGTCTGGCCCGAGCACGAAGCGGAGGAGGCGGCCCAGCGTGTCGTGCTTCAGCAATGGCGACGTCATGTCTTCAAAGCGGATGAGGATGAAGTTGCGCGCCACCACAAACCCGTCGCGCAGCAGCCGCTGGTACTCCTTCATGTAGTGGGCCCACATCTCGCACTGGGTGACCAGGCGCCGCGCAATGTCAGACTGCGGCATGTTGTGGAACCGTGATCGGGATATACCCGATGCGTGGCCACCGGTCAGCTGCCGGGTTGCCTCCGCCAGCGCGGCGTGAAAGGGGTCTCGGATGATGCCAATCACGCTGTCAAAGGGGCGGAGCTCGCGACACGGGTAGCCGTGCGCAAGCTCCCCTGGCTGCATCTTGAACAGCTTGTTGTAGACCTCCGGGTCGTACGACCCCAAGTGCATGTGGGACTTGACGACGATGGTTGTGTTGTCGCAGCGCAGCTCACCGGGCATCACCTCCTTGAGCTTGAAGTCGTTGTACACGCTGCTGGAGAAGAAGCCTGTTCCATACTCCAACAGCATACGGAACCACGTGTTTCCGCTGCCCGGCAGCGTCAGCAGCAGGGGCGGCTTGGCGTGTGGCAGCCGCGCCCGGTCCTCCGGTGTGACATATCGCCGTCCAACGTGCCGGCACTCCCGTGCCTCCTCATCTGCCTGCTCGTCCGTGCTGGCAGCGTCCTCGCCGTTGCCATTGCTGTCCGTATCGGATTCGCTGTTGCTGGTGAAATGGTGGTTGTGATGGCGAGCAGCAGCATCGCCACCACCACCATCATCGGCATTCAGGGCCTCGGCTTGAGATGGTTCCTGTGTCTGCATCAAATGCCTGCGTGGTCTCAAGTGCTGTGCGGCGTCGTAGCCTTGCTTCCTTTCTTGTTCTCCTTGCGCTTGCGGTTCAGAGCCCCTTTCGTGGTGCTGACTGCCGCCTCTCAACCCTTCCACCTTTCGTGGCACACCGTGTACGCCATGGTTACCGTCACTCCCAACAGCAGCACATTCCACTGCCACCACAACCACCACCACAGCCACCACCACCACACCAGCCGTTCTCATCTTCGCCGCTCTGACGACCGTTTCGCTGGTGGAGGAAATGAATTCATTTCCCTTTTTCTTCTGCTTGTGTGTGTGTGCGGAAACGGCGAAAGATGGCGGAGGTGGCGCAGGTGACTGGGCTGCGACCCAGCATTGGCCCATCGGTGAGACGCGGCATGTGTGTGTGTGTGTGTGTGTGTGTGTGTGTGTGTGTGTGTGTGTGTGTGTGTGTGTGTCTGTGTGTGTGTGTGTGTGTGTGTGTGTGTGTGTCTGTGTGTGTGTGTGTGTGTGTGTCTGTGTGTGTGTGTGTCTGTGTGTGTGTGTGTCTGTGTGTGTGTGTCTGTGTGTGTGTCTGTGCTGTCGCTTTTCACTGTCGCTGTTACATCCCCCTTCCCCACTTGCTCGCTCACTCACTCACTCACTCACTCACTCACTCGCTCGCTCGCTCACTCACTCACTCCCGCCCCAACACACGACTTTCACGCCTTCCTCTGCTTGTGGGCTTTGGAAGACGGGCGGAACCCTGGTGACGATTCGAGGATCCGACCTTGGCGACTCTGAGGAAGACATTCTCGGTACAACGATCTGTGTGTGTGTGTGTGTGTGTGTGTGTGTGTGTGTGTGTGTGTGTGTGTGTGTGTGTGTGTGTGTGTGTGTGTGTGTGTGTGTGTGTGTCACTTTCTGTGTGTCTGTCTTTCTTTCTGTGTGTCTGCCTCTCGTTCTATCTGTCTCTCTCTTTCTCTCTCTGTCTCTTGTTATCTGCACTTGCTGATCCCATCATGGGCGGAGTTGCCCCTTCACTCACCCTAAGCGCTGCCTCCCATGATGCGTGTGGGTCCTGGCAATGCCACTTTCCTTGCAGATGTTACAATTGGAGGCGTCTCTGTGAGGAGCTCATTGAGGTACTTTTCATCCTCAAAGCTGCAGTGTTTCACTGCGCCGTGCTCGCAGCCTTCAGGCCCCGTCGTGGTCACAACAACGGCAGGCAGGGGCGTGTCGCACGTGACTTTTGTCTTTGAGCAAGTCGAATCTGATGACGACGAGGATCCGCCCACCATAGGTGCGTGCGATGTGTGTGTGTGTGTGTGTGTGTGTGTGTGTGTGTGTGTGTGTGTGTGTGTGTGTGTGTGTGCGTGTGATGTGTGATTTGTGGTGTGTGGTGCGTGTGTGTGTGTGATGTGTGTGTACGCACTGTCCGAACGTGACGCTGTCTCCCCACAACAACGTTTTGACGTCCGTGCAAGTAACAACCCACCTGACTGTGTCCGCATGTTTCTGTCGTGTGACCACTTCACGATCCGAATACGCCCCTACACCACATGGTCTCACGTCATGTCTTCTTTCCTTGCCGCTCGTCTGGCTCCTCCTTGCGCAACACGCCAATTGCCACTGCGCCACCGCCAACGCGCGCACAGGCATGCTGACGGAGAGCCGCGTGTGGAAGGAGGAGGTGCTGGATGACACGTTTGGGCTGCGGCTGGCACCGGCAAGCAGCATTGACCGCGATCCGCTCAATCTCCAGCTCGAGGACACGCGCAAACCCCTTCGCGGCGAAATCAAATCGGTACCTTTGCTACTGATGGTGGTGGTGGTGGTGCTGGCTCGTCGTGATTGTTGTTGGTTGATGACTGAAGGAGCGAACGTTGCAGTGTGAGTGTGTGTGAGTGTGAGTCATGCTGCGCTCCACTCGTTTGCGACGTTGATTTGCCTGTTGTTTCCCTCAAACCATTTCCCTCAATGCCCCCCACACGCTCACACACGCTCACAAACACGCACACACACACACACACGCACACACACACACACACATACACAACACACACACACACACACACACACACGCACACACACACACGCACACACACACGCACCGTCATCTCCCTGCTGCCTACCAGCGGGTGCAGGCGCTTGAGGAGCAGGAGGGCGGATCGCACGTGCTCTCCGACCAGCACTTCAGCCCGGCCCTCTGTCTCGTCAAACTCTACCGCGACTGCACCCGCAACGAGCTCGAACGAGGTGCAGCGCTGTGTGCCATCGTGTGTACGTGTGTGTCATCGTGGAGGGGAGAGGCAGATGAGAATGAGATGGGAGGGGGGTGGAGAAATAGTGACATGGAAGATGGAGAAGAAGTGAGATGGAGAAGAAGTGTGAAGAGCTGCACGCACACGCACACGCACACACACACCACACACACACACACACACACACACACACACACACACACACACACACACACACACACACACACACAACACACGACTCCCCGCTGTTGTGGTTTCAGGGCTGCGACATCTGGAGCGGATGGAGGAGGAGCACGATCGAAACTTGAAACAGCTCATCAACGTGAGCTCGTCCACGTTTGTGTCGGCATTTGATGCCGTTCTAAATGCGAATCGCCGCATCAAGTTTCACAAGCGCACGCTCAACTCGGCCTCAATCACCAGCAAGCTTGCAGAGAGGTGAGTTGCGCAGGCGCTGGGCTTGCATGCATGCGTGTCAGTGTGTTGGATGCACCTTTGAATGTATTTGTGTGTGTGTGTACGTTTGCGTTGTCACATGTTGCCCAAGCGTTGAGTGCTTCAGATTCATCCCAGCACGCAACCCACACACACACACACACGCGCGCGCGCGCGCACACACACGCACACACACCCACACACATGGCGGACAGCATCAGCAAGTTGGAGGAGACGACGCACGCGACGTACGATGCAATTCTGGAGCGGCAGAAGGAGGCGAACCAGCACCGAGCCATGCTGCACGTGCTCGCAACACACCGCTTCCTCTTCAACCTCCCGCGCAGGTGTTTATGTGTGTTTATGTGTGTTTATGTGTGCGCGTGTGTGCGTGCGTGTGCGTGTGTGTATTTGTGAGCGCCGTCGGCGATACGTGAGCCAGCCATTGCATCGGCAGTGACAGGATATCTGCCGCCTGTTGCCTCCCACGTTACCGCCACTCACCATGCTTCCTCCTCCTTCATCCACTCCACAACACCACTACATGCCACCACCACCACCACGATCATCATGGCCGTTGACGTCGTGCCAGCCTGCGCGATTCGATTGCACGGGAGGAGTGGGCACAGGTCATTCTTGATCTTGGGAAAGCGAGAAAACTCTTCAGCGACCCCGCCGTCAGCGCTTTCCACCAGGTAATGCGACGTGTGCACTTGTTTGTACGTGTATGTGTGTGTGTGTGTTGGGGGGGGGGTGGCGTGTATTGTGTGTGTGAGAGTGTGAGTGTATTGTGTGTGTGTGTGTGTGCGTGTGCGTGTGCGTGTGCGTGTGCGTGTGCGTGTGTGTGTGTGTGTGCGAATGTAATGCGTGCTCTCAAAGCCACCGTGTCTTTCCAGTGTCTCTCGTAACCTCACCACTGCACCGCCGCACCATGTCAACCATCACCGGTTGCAGGTGAAGGCGACGATTGAGGCAATCGCTGGGGAGGTGAAGGCAACGCTCTACAGGCGGCTGTCAGCAATGCCGCTGCCGCTCACCGCCATTGAGGAGATCACAGCCCACCTCCTCGCCCTCGATCCCCAATCAGAACCAGGGTGCGGCCGCATGCATCGTGTCGGGTGTTTGTTTGTTTGGTTGGTTGGCTGGTTGGCTGGTTGGCTGGTTGGTTGTGTTTGAGTGTGTGTGTGTGTGTGGGGGGGGGGTTGTGTTTGTGTTTTTTGTTTGTTTGTTTGCTTGGCAACTGTTTCCTCGTCCTCACCCACCACCATCATCACCATCACCATCACCATCACGATCACCACCTCACCATCAGCTGGTACGCGATCCAGCAGCTGCAGAGTTTCATTCTGTCGGAGATGGAGCGGCTGGTGGGACAGCTTGCAAACGCAACGTCACTGGTAAGGTGTTGTAGCGACACAGCAGTCCTGGAGGGAAAAGTAGGGCGTGTCGAGACGGCCACTGCTTTGCTGCTGTGCACGCAATGCTCACACAATGCTCACATAATGTTCAACACCCATTCACACAATGTTGTCACCATCCCCACCACCATCACCATCCCCACCACCATCACCATCCCCACCACCATCACCATCCCCACCACCATCACCATCCCCACCACCATCACTACCTCTCCGGCACCACCACCACCACCACCACGATCATCACCA